GGCGGCATGTGGACCGGCGGCGGTTGTGGAGCTTGTTTGACACCACCGCAGGCGTTCCAGAGTGTTGCAAGGTCATTTATGCTGAGCCCGGGCATGTCGTTGTCGTAATCCTCCGAACTGGTGAAGACATGAATTTGATTTCTGCCAGCATGGATTTTCTGAGGGCTGCCGTCTGCCGATCTGTTGTGGCTTGCGCTGAATGCTTGTGGTGTGAATCCGGCACTCAGTTCACACTGAGAATCACACGAGCAGATGCTGCTGCCAGGGCTTGCTGACCACAGGCCTGGTCAAACCATCACCCCGAAATCCCGAAGAGCAAGCTCAATAAAACCCAAACAGCAGCACTGCCTCTAGATTCTGTCGGAATGTGGAGCACCACAAAACATATCTTGCCAGGACAAGCTTCGAGTGAAGCCTCCAAAGATGACAGCGAACAACAAGATGTTGTACTTTTCTCTTCAGGCCCAGGGATGTTGGGGGGGTGGGGGGTTGAGGGTTTTAGCGTTTAGGGGCCTTAGGGGAGTATTTTCCGACAGGCTCTGCTAGAGCTCCGCATATTGGCCGCAGGGCCCAGCCTTGCCACCTGTTCATGCAGACATGCCGGTATCTGCGCAACAGTGGCATAAGCATATACCTGCATGTAGTGGCCTGTCGAAATCTGCATCTATCCACGCAGTGGCTTATGCATGTATGCATGCATGCATGCAGGTATGTTTAATATATATATATATATATAGATATGTGTGTGTGCGAGCGCGAGCTGTTGCCAAAGAGGCGTTGAAGGCGGCGCTGCCAAAGGCCGTTGTCAAGGCCTGGTACAGAATAAAGCAACAGCGCAAGCCACGGTCGAACTTCGGCACAACTGTTTACGGTTTTGTGTCTAGCCAGGTCGCCAAAGAACAGGTATCCCAGAGTAGGAGTCCTCGTAACAAGGACCCACCGGTACTGTTTAGAGCATGCTAAATTGTGTGCTAGGGCCCTTTTTTTCAAAATTCCTAGCTGGTATCTAGCACGACATGGACCAGAGTGGAGCCTTGTCTGAAGAAAAAGATTCCTTTGTTAATGACAAGCAGAAGCATGGCCACAAGAGCACTTCGTCGTAATAACACTTAATGAACTCAAAGGGCATATCGGACTCCGACTCAGGGTCAGGCGTTGTGTGAAGACCAGCTTGCCGGCTTTCATTTGGGTCTAGGTCAAGTCGTGGTGCTCGGTGTCATTTGTGTTTTGCCGATTGGCTTCGGTCTTCCCCGATCATGCTGCACTTGTGAGATCTTGTGAGTCTTAGAGTGTTAGGGTGCAATCGCTGCCTCAAGTGGTCGGGCAGGGAATCCCATCTACCAAGCGCTCCGTCCTCAACAAGAAGGAAGTTGGCGACAAGGCGCTCTCGAATCACAGACAAGGACTGGCAAACTGAATTTCCGTGGAGTTGCTGTGCATGCCTTGCAGGTTTCCTACACGCTGCTCGTCGAAGGCTATGGCTTGCGGGAGGTTGGAAACTCTGCACTCAGGAAACCCGGTTCCAGCACATTCTGAAGGTCAATCCGACACTGCCATGCATACTTACTATGATATACTCTAATAATATATACTAGTATACACACTATAAAGTATACTATAAGAGGTCATGCGTACCAGAGTCACAGAAGTCCTAGCTGCAGCTCAAGGTCATGGGAACACCCGGGATCAACCCGAACAAGACCAGCTCCAACCATGTGGTGGAGGTGGAGAAGGTCCGAGGGAGGAGTGCAACAAAGCTTTGCTATTTTTCGAATTCCTGTCATTGTCGGAGATGCACCCCTAAACCCTAAACCCCTAAAACCCTAAACCCTAGATGCACTCGAACCTGGCACTCACTGATTTTAGATGCCATGCCTGAAACTCAGTGCTTCCGTCATCGAGGCCCAGGCGGCAAGGAAAGTCTCAGGATCCGACATCGCTGGGTTCTCACGATTGTAAGGAAGATGGGAGCCGAGGAGATGCCGAGGAGCAAGCGCATTTATTATAGTAAATGTTACATATAGTAAATCTTATCGTATACATTAAACTATGTAATATAAAATACATCAGAGGGCCCAGCAGACCTCCACAGAATGGGAGCCGAGAAGAACATCATCCCTGCAAATCCAACAAGCACACAACACCAAGCCCCAAACCACAGCACCTCCACCCACCAGCAACCCTACTCCCTGGAGCTAGCGACTGGGTTCTACAAGGAGTTCACCAGAATACAGGACCAGGACCCCTTAAAGCTTAGAAGGGAAGGAGAGTTCAAGAGCCCCCTAGCCCTGGACCTAATTCTGGGTTCCTTATACTAAGGATCCTACTATTTGGGGTACTATATTAGAGGCCCCTATACCCTAAGCCTAAACCGCTACAGGTGCTTGGGATCGAGGCAGCGCGTCGCACCATCATGCAGGAGATCAAAGTCACGCAGTTGGGATGCAAGCCCTATAGATCCTTAACAGTGATTGTCACACTACTGCTACCACGCCTCGATATATGTAATGAGAAGGCATGCATGCATCCGTACTCTTATGCTATACTTCTATGTGTGTAAAGATAGATTATCGTATAAACATACACTGTGCATGTATTTACAGCACTCTTAAGCTATGCCGTAGGCTGCACTTTTATGTGTAGGTACGTATCCTGTCTCATAAACATATAACGCTGTACACATATGTTGCAAACACCGAGGCGGCATGCTCGTGTGAGGTTTAGCTGAGGCTCTTGCCCTTGAGGCTGATAACCTTTCAAAAAATCGCGAACCCAGCAAACCTTGCTGGTAGCAGAAACATCATGCGGGATATCAAATTACAATTATGCTTGTAAGGGTTATTATAAAGATTGCTACAAGGGGTTTGTGCAGCGGCTGTTCATACTCAATTGCTGTCTTGCTCTGCAGCATGTCTTTAGCCTTGGTTGTGTCCGTGCGCCACACACATTTACTATCCATATAGGTATATACCTTTATACATCTATGCACACAAGTATATGTATATATATACACACATTTTTTACCATGTGTCAGCATCTGTTCATATATACATACATGTGTGTATATATATATATATGTATATTCTTCCTCTTGACGAAGCAAATGCACGTTGTCTGATAACGCTATTTTGGTTATATAACATTCGCTGGCTATAGTGACCAACTCTCACATCCAATATACGGCATAGTACATTCTAGAACAGGGTAACACATATACATGAAGTATGCCGTAAAGGTGGCAATCGCTTCTGGCAGTTTGGGGTCCTCATTCCCAGAAGCTGAGCCTGATCCGACAAGCATAGAGGCACCACCTGGTTCTAGTACTCAGGTTGGGCGCACATGGAATTTCTGTGGATGCCACATTCCCAGAGACTGCTGTGCAGTTTGCAGTGGAACCGCCATGTCACTGTGAAGTCGGCCACTTGCCATGGGCATGACTACCAGGCGCGACATATCCAGATGCTCGGTGACTGCATGACATACCGAGGAGCAGTGATTGCCTTAGCTTGGCAGTCTGCAGCTTGTCACTTCATAGGTTCTGGCCACCGTGCACAGACAAGATTTTCATTCATGTTATGGACATGCATCCACATCCTGCGCCGTCACCTGTCTGAGTCTCCGGACCACCTCCCTGCTGCAAGGTGCTGGGCATCAACCGATTCGGCATAAGCCGAATGCGAACATCGGCCCTGATGCATCTTGGCACATCCAAGTTGTCCGCCAGTCAGTCAACATTTAGGGGAGTCTGCAGGCAGCCTATATATGCCGCAACGTGTGACACCAAAAATCGCGCAAGTTGAAGGCTGGCATCCTTTGAGCGGACCACGGACCTTGTCTTCGATGCTGCAGCGCGCAGCCGCGTGGACCCTGTGAAGGGCGTCAGCGAGCGCCTGCCTCAGATCGGATGTCAAGTGGTAGGTGCGGGATAGAAAGGGCTTCAAGCACACGAGGTGCGAGGTCATGGTTGTAACCACAGGTACTGTAATGACGAACTGAACTGCGCATTGTGCATTGTTCGTCGTGTACTCTTCAACAGAGTAGACACATAGATGAAGGCAGACCAGCGTCTCGAGAGCCTGTCCCCGTCGAGATGCCACACTCTTCAAGGTGTTGCCTCGAACCAGGAGACATTCCAAGCTGGTTGCAAGGTTCCACATCTTTACTACAAGAAACTAGGGAGTGCTCGGTGGCATTTGCACGCTAGCATGGCAACAGGTGCATCATCATGGGCTCCACGATCAACTTGGGCACTGGCCTTTGCAAGCTGCTCTATGATTTCAATGCCCAGGCCAGAGGTGACAGGGGCGAGAGCCGGGAATATGTTGGTTCTCTCTCTCCTTCTCTCTATGTCACGCTAGGTGTCTCTATCTATCCGTCGCTCTGTCGACTTATCTGTCTGTCTAACTATCTATATATGTATATGATCGTTTAGCACGTACATACATGCATACATATGCAGGTATACGCAAATGTGTACGTCTGCACCCACTACAAATAGAATAGAATACAAAATGCAATGCATACACCTATACATATGTGTACACACATAAATACATACACACATAAATACATACACACATAAAGACATCCATACATACATACATAAACACATTCATGCGTCATTCGTACATACAAACATGAATACTTGCATAAATACAAACATCTATATATGTACATATACATATAGATATATGGGATGCATCCATGCAAGCAAACATGCATGCATACATTTATGTGTGTATGTACAGGTGTGTGTGCGTGTATATATATATATATATACATAGAGTATATCTATGTGTATATATATGTATATACAGAGAGAGAGAGAGACAGAGGTACATATGCAAACACATAATATTATGCACACATCATATATGTTTACACATATGCATATGCACATGCATATACATATTTATGTACAAACACGAACATCTCTTTGTCTGTCCATCTGCCTGTACATGAAACAAGGGTCTGTGTGCATGGCTACCGGTCTGTCTGTGGGCATGCCTTACTGCATGCGCGTGTGTTTACGTCCATGTGTCTGTCTGTGGGTGTGTGTTTGTGTTTATGTCTGGAAAGGTTCCTGCAGATGTATACAGATGCACGTGTATGTGTCTGTTGATTATCTGGAGACGCACATGCACAGAGACACGGTGGAACCACGACAGTGAAGACACCTGAGGCGCACAGCATGCCGATGTCGCGGCCCGTTTGCAGTGCAGCCTGTAGTTGAACCGGTAAAATGCACAGCGGAAGTCGAACAAATCTTGTTCTACAGATTGTCTGGGCCTTCATCAGCTTACGCTCTAGCTCTCTTTTGCTTTTTTTTAGTCGCTTTGTGAGTGTGTGCATGCGTGTGTCTACTCTCTCTCGCGCTCTCCCAGACCGATTTCGTAATATCCAGCAGCTGCGCCGCAGGCGGCTACAACCGCGCAAGCTGCCACGAAGGAAGGCGCTTGTGAGGGGTGCAGCGCTGCGTTTATCTTTCACGCGAGCAGGGGATAGGTTTTTGGGGTATATTCTTCTTATAATTATAATAAGGAACCTCCAAAATAGCATACGTATTGTGGATTGAACCTCGACGGAGATGCATAGAGCAGCTGCTTCGCAGGTGGGTCACAGCCACCACCCGGCAGTTCCTGGACGGTGCAGTCCTCGATCATAGCCACACACTGCAAACCAAAGTCTATATACTATACCGTAGTCTAATATACTATAGTATGCTCAAGCATACTATAGAAAATGCTATCATATACGATAAAGTATACTATAATATGCTATCATTTACTATACTATATTTTTTCAAGATCTTTTTTTAATATAGTATACAACTCCTTTCGGCTGAGGCGACTCAGAGTCGAAGTCCGCTGCTGAAGCCCGGGCCCTGTGCTCGCAGCAGTTTGCAGTACTGGAACCAGCACCGAACAACAGTATAGTATATTATTACGATTTTATACAGTTAGTAGAGTAGAGTATAGTATAGTATATTATTATGACAAAATACATTTAGCATAGTAGTGTGTAGTCTATTGAAGGAAAGAACAGTACATAGCATAAGAAGATCGCGTGCGTGAAGCGATGTTGAGGCATGTCACAGCGCAGGAATTAGATCGGTAGCCTTGCTTTCTGTTCTTGCCCTGAGGAACTGGCGAAAGAGGGTATCCTTCGCTGATGAGTCAAGCAGCAACAAAGCACCTCGCTTGTAGGAGCCACTGCCGCTTCAGGGATGACCAGAGAAGGACTCACTGGACGCTCGAGAGGGCTGCTCCGTCACAAGAGGTGGCACCTGGCACCCTCCTCAGGCTTCCTTCGGGCGCAGGTGTGAGACCGGTGGAAGTAGCACCAAAGAGCATGCAAAGCGACTCGGCGACTGCCTCAACTTTGCTTGACCGGTCACACATCTTCGTGGCATTGTACATAAATTTCACGGATTGCTTGCACAGCCCAAGCCGGCTTTGGCGATGCCTGTGCCATGAAAAGGCGTCGTGGCGCACAAGGGGTCTGGATCGCATTCGCGATGCTGGGGCTTGACACCACTGGGCAGAAGGTGTTTGTATACTGGCCATATTGCTTTCACAGATTCGGGTCGGCTTCACTGCCCGACCATCTGGGTCACAACTGCTAGCACAGCCGACTTGCGTTATGTCTATCTCTGTCACGGTTTCGCTTTGCCTTCTCCCTCCATGTCTCTCTCGCTCTTGTCGTCTCTCGCTTTCCGGCATGCTGGCACAAGAGGGTTTGCGCCATGTGCCCGAGTGCAGTTTCACTTCTCGCGGGCTGTGTCTTTGTTTGGCTCCTTCAGCTTTGAGTGATGAAACGAGCTGTTGCATGGCCCATGAGAAGGGCTCGAACGAATGCAAGTCCTCGCCGTCACCACATGGCTGACTGGTGCCAGTGACATTGCAGCGCCAAGCTCATGTGCAGCCACAGCCGCACGATGGTGACAAGCTCGCACGGCATAGCAACTCGAAGAACCTGCAAGCGCCATGGAGTACTGGGGTCTCTCAAATCCTTCCGGGCCTCGCCAGGCGATGCGAAGTTCAGAGATACGTAGAGTCAGCTGCGATTGCCAGACGGGGAAGACAGGACACCCTTCTGCTATGCGCTGCCCCTCCCGGGAACCCTATCGCAGTCATCGTATAGTGTATAACACAACACAAGATAATATTATAAATTAGTATATATATATATATTCCTATCGCAGTTTTTCATATCTTTGAAAGCCGGCAGGTCCCCGACAGCTTGGCCGGTCAGGAGCCTGGGTGCCGATCTGAGATCCCACCAAGGCTTGTTGACTCATCGTAGCCTAAATCAGGTTACATTATATTATGAGGGTTTAGGGTTTAGGTATGATGTGTAGAAGTTTTTAAGTTGTGTTGCACAGTACTATACTGTATTGTGTTGCATCATATTTTATTATATCTTTACGGCATCGTCTGAAGCAATCGTTCAGCGTCTCCAGGGATGTGATCCTTGCTTGCTTTCGGTACCTCAGCTGAAAGTTGCAAGTCTGTGCTGCGCATATAGCACAATGTAGTAAGCTACCATGCAACGCGACCTAATGTAACATACCATGCTATGACCTGGTATAATTTATAACAGAATGCAGATGATTACACGTGTTGGGGGTCTTCAGGTGCAGTCGGACACTTTGGTGTAGTACTATATGTGTGCTATGGAGTGGAAGCTGCATGTCGTCTTCATGTTACAGCTACCACTGAGGCACCCATCGAAGCTGCAGATGATGCTGGAGAGCAGCAGCGGCCTTCAGCCCACGAGCCTTGATGGAAGGCCGCTGAGTGGACAAATCAGAGTCTGACGGCGCTGCACAGATAGCCGCTGGTCAAGGGGCGGGCATACCAGAATCTTGCATGAGCAGGATGCATGCTGTGAAGGTGCGGACTCAAACAGCTCGCGATATGATATGCCGATATGTGCCAACTTTCCGGAAGTGTGATCTTGACGATGTGCTGCTGAGCCTCGACAGCTGATTCTGCAGGCAGATCCGCTACAGCCAGATCAGCTTGCCTCAGACGACCGGGTCCGCCAAAGACCTGTTCGACTCTGAAGGTTGTAGCTTCTTTGGCAGGTCGCGAGAGCGGTCTGCAATATAGGGGCCCTAATAATTACCTACACTATCTTGGGGGCTCCTTATAATAATTATAGTGTAGTATACCCCACAACCCTATTCTAATTATTAAGGCCCCTACATTACAGGAGTTTAGTGGTCACTGGGATCCATTGAGACAGCAGCACATGCTTTCCCCCTGTCCTGGCGGGATTCAGGAGCACAACCAAAGTGCTTCCCTCAAGTAGTTGCGGCAATCAATCATTTCGAGACGGCAAATATATTGGACCTTCCAATACCCAGACATCACAATATGTGCGATCGTCGTCCCGGGAACCTCCTGTCGCGCACTACTCGCGGGAGCAAAAGCAGTTCTACGTAAGCAGCGCATACTGTGTACCGCATTGTTTGCTCAATATGAATAACAGTAAGCCCTAAGCAGCTTTCAACCCTGGCAAACGGATTGCCAGGCCGAAGAGGAATCGACCTTTGAATCGAGCACTGGAGCTCATGGAAGGAGTGCAGAGGGTTGCAATACAGGTCACTCTTACGACCTTAGAGTCTAGGTGTGTGAGTCTTTGCTTGCACCTAAGAACCTAGGGACCAGGGAGACTGGAGAAGAAGGAGCAGAGTTCTCAAGAGGTTTGACTCAGCACAGCGTCTGCTATGCAAATGCCTATTCTCTAACCATCATCTTCTGCATCAGCGGCCGGGGGCGCTTGTCTTCAAATGTCTTGTCAGGCGTTGAGTTGAAATTCCGCTGTAAGCCTCACCAGGGCGGCCAAAGAGTTCTTGTCCTGAGAGGCCTTATATCCTCCTTTCCACGACACTGAAACTTGAAAAGCGTTTTTAGCCGGGAAGCTCACGGAAGCTGCAGTGATCACGATCCTGAGGAGCTGCCGCAATTTTGTGTGGTATTGCGAGGGGCCTCAGGGAACGGAGGGCGGGACGACGGAATGCAGCCAGCGAGACGGGTGCTATGCCTGGTGGTGCATTGGGGTGCCACGATTGCCGTGCTGCAACCTGAGTAGCCCTTAACCCCAATATCTAGCATGTGTTTGGAGCGTCGCGTAAGACACCCAGTGGTAGCACCGGAGGAGAAACATACAATGCAGTCCTTCGGATAGCTGTAGGCTCTCGAAAATTAAAACACTCAGAGACCCAAGCTAGAATTTCGTGGCTTGTGAGTTTGACAAGGAAGGGATTCGAGAGGGCGCAGTTGACTCTGCCTTGCGCTGGCATTTCGGCCCAAAGATAATGTACCTGAACTGTTAGGACACCTACCGAAGCGGGCCTTCAACCTAGGACCTAGCATCGTTTGCAGAGTTTACGGATATTTGCACTTTCCATACCTGTCAAGCTGGAACAAGCTACTCAAGCTCATCTGCACTGGGCTCACGTGTGTTACCCATCGATTGGATTGCGGCTTCATGGACCATGGGAAGCCTGTTAATGGACCGAATCGCTGCCGCCTAGCTCCGCAGCGGTTCGTGCAGCGATTGATTCACAGGCTGTCTTTGCCATCCTTCACCAATCACAACTTGATGGGAGCTGCTGGAAGTTCATGTTGCACAACTCCCGGTCCAGCAGGTGACTATCAAACACATCGGCATCCCGTTGTCCACGGGACTGCCTCGGTTCTCTTTCGATGTAGGGGCAGCCTCACAAACATCGTAATTCGGACTATGACAATCCTTCTGACTGCCAGCTTTATCAGTAACGACATGGCCGCGACTGCTGCTATTGCTCGAACCGTTGCTCGTGCTGCTCGTCGAGGCACAGCAAGCTGCTCCTGCTCCTGCACCTGCTGCTGCTTCATCAGCACCAGCACGACGTCGTCGTAGGAGTGGCAGCAGCAGCAGGATGAGCAGGATGATGATGAGGAGGAATAGGAGGAGTAAGAGTAGGAGGAGGACGAGAAGCATGAGTAGTAGGAGTAAGACTAGTCTTCGTAGAGGTAGTAGCAGCAGGTGTAGAAGAGTAGTAGTCGGAGGAGGCGGAGGCCCAGGCAAAGGGGGAGGCGTGGTGGCGGCGGGTGTAGGGGTTGTGAGACTCGTAGCTGCTGTTGTTACGATCAAGATGACAACGACGACGATGCCGACGACAAGCTCTACTAACTCTACTGATATTGCATGCTTCGCGTTGCTGGCTGCTTCTACTGCGAACATGGTCAGTGTGCGTCCGTGTGCCCTTAGTCCTTGTTCTCAATCAGCCTGCAATGCTGCAACCCTCTACCCTGCACACACCTTACTGTCTCCGTTCCGTCATGGAGAGGCCGGCGGGGCCTGACAGAGCGAGTGCTGGACATGGCAACCATCGATAGTACCTTGGTCAGATCTTGTCTCGTTCCACTAGGACCAGAGCATGAACAGTTTGGCACGGAGTGGAGAGAAGGTGTGCTCCGGCTCGCATGAGTGCTTGAGCTTAAGAGTTGCAGGCACCAAGAAGAAGTACATCTGCGGCTTCACAGTCCATGATGCTAAAGAGCTCAGCCAGGACTCTTTGCATGTCCGTAAAAGAAGTTGGCGGAACCCTTGGGTCTTCTTTTTTGTTTGTAGCTTGTACAGCCATAGCCTATAAATGCTTTTTTCAGTTTTGTTGGCGCATCAAGTGTAGCCAGCTCTTCAAGTATTCTGTGCGAACTCTCCCTCACATGTTACGGACAGAAGGCCAACTAACGCTTACAATACTTCGATATCTCCACGTTTCGCACGAAGCCCCTCTTGCGCCTTCTGTTCGATCTGTCACAGGTTGTGACCGAAGTACGATTACAACCCGCTAACAGGTACATAGAACTTAGAGCTATTCTAGCAAGAAGCCTCTGCCAGTTTAGAGATGATGATGATGATGATGATGATGATGATGATGATGCCGTTGGTGATGCCTTTTGTGTCAGTCGGGCAAGTGGTTCCTCTTATCCTGCGTTTGCAATCGGGAAGTTATGGTAACCGGTGGAATTGTTTATCACCTGATGTCTAGCATCGCACCGGACAAAAGCCCCTGCAGCCGTTCTTTAATTTACAGCATGCAGTCAGTGTTTGAGTTTTGAGGCAGCAAAGGTCACATCACCAGCAGTGCCGCTGTGAGCCAGGACGGAACAGCCGTCGATCCTTTGGTCGTGGCTCGCTGTTTAAGAAGCTTCCCGGTTATCCCGGTAGCCCTTCTCCGAGGGCGGGATGTGAGCGACTGCAAGGGATTCCTGGGCACTTGGGTGCTTGGTGGTGTTTCCATGTCCTCCCTACGATTTGGCTTTCCTGGTGCTCCAAACAAGTCTCTGATCTCCTTAAAAGCAGCCATGCAACCCAGCTTTCAAGTCACGTGGGAAAAGGAGGGACAACACATCAGCTGAGTTGAGCGCTGCCGTGAGGACCAGCCTTGAATGCAGCTGCAAGCATAGATTGAGACGGCCCTGTGCTCATCTCCTAGCAGCCTCTGGCACCCCACAGAGCAGTCTCAGGCTTTAGGGTGGGTTTGGCACAAACTGCGTCGGCTCACGCCATACTTATGCCACAACCCACCAATGCAAACACTGATATGCAGGAAAGCTGCATCTTGCGAATCGTCGCTATTACGATCTACTGGGTCTCAATGCACTCGTTTGCTATTGTATGTCTTTGGAATGGCCCCGAAGGTGCAAGCTTGTTAGAAGCATGTGACCTTGTCGTCGTGGCCTGTCCTGAGGTAGTCCGGTGTTTGGGAAAGGACCGATGAGAGGGTTGAGAAGTGCAGGTCAGTTCTGCCGTCAAAGAAGCCTCTTGAGAATATCAGCGCAGTCTCAGCCAAGGGATCATGTTAGATTTGCACTGGAGGGTGCACACACACACACACACACACGTGCTGCTGTTGAATTTCGGAGGAGTACAAGACTGCCATGAAAAGTGGCAAGATCCAGCATTGCAAGTTCGACGAGTGGCTGGGACTGCAAAATAGGTACAGCTAGGGTTGGGCTTTTTGCACAGGTGCTCGTGACAATTTCTCGCATTTGATTGCTCTTGAGACGTCGGCGCAGTTGTGTGAAGCAAGGGCTGCGCCATTCAGGCTTTTCTTGATCGGTTCATGCCACAACTTCAGGTCTTACATCTGGAACGACTTCTACATCACGGAGACAGAGTTCAACATGGCGTGCATTGAGTTTGAACTGCAGGCTCTGGATTTCCCCACGAGCAGTTTGAATCTTGTAACTACGCAGCCGCAGCCATCGCAGTTCCTTGGACATCAGTCAGACTAGCCTCGAGAATCGTTCGAGAAGACAGAGCCCCCAATCGCTCTTTTCGGATAAATCTGCCTTGCATGCGAGAGCAGTCAGACGCCAGCTGAGATGCAAAGGCAAAGGGGAAGTTTCTTGCTAAAGAAACCTTCGCACTTTTCCGAGTCCCAGTGACGTACAGTTCGGAACGGACTAGTTTCGCCTCCCCGAAGCTTTGCTGGGCCTCTGCTAGGCCGCCAACATCTTCACCAGGAACACAGTGCTAGGCACTGGGAAGGTGCCTCGACTCGGTGAGTGCGGCTGCATCAGGGGTGTCACGGTGTAGACGCAGGTGTATGCAGGTGTAATCAAGCTGTTCAACTGTTCGGAGCACTGTTCTTCAGTCTGTGTACCTTCGTTTTACTTCGCTGCGTGTACTTCAGGTGCAGTTGGCCATGGTCAGGCAGCGACCCAACCATACCTACGTGCGGAAGCAGCATCTCGTCTGTAAACTCAGCAACAAAGCTGCTGTCGGGTTGCCCATCGAAATCCTAGTAACCTAGTACAGCAGGATACAGCTGACTCTGGAGCACAAGCTGACCTCAAAGCTGACGGTCACCGTGTTTTGCTACGGGGAGGCCTTTGCGTCTGCTCAGAGAATCAAGCATAGAGCACAGGGATGCTGGTTGCATGGTGGCCGGGGAGCTTAACTCGCTCCCTATGCCGTGGAGACGAAGAAGAGACACATAGAGAGATAGAGAGAGAGAGAGAGAGATTGCATCTTCGAATTGCATGTTTTTGCTGATGCTTGGGAAGTCCGTCTTGCCTCTGAAGCGCGTGTTTCCAATGGCACCCACACTAGGTGGGGTGGTGCACTCGCGCGAGGGCAGGGGTCACACCGCTTCCTCCAGCCAGTGAGAAAGAACGAATTCTGTTCGAATTCTTTCTTCAGCCTACAACTTGGCGCAGGGCGACAAGCCTCCAGCTCCGGATGATGCTCAAGACAACAAGGCCAAAAGAAGGGTTTGATGAAGGTCGCCTCTTTGCCTCGAAGAGACTGTCCCGAAGATACGACACTCGACCTGGATTCCTGCTCTCAGGAGGAGGTGGAGGCACATCTGAATGACTTGACGGCCGCCGTGATTGGAGACACAGGACTCAGAAGCTGACTCCCGTGTGAGCTCCGCAGGTTCTGCGTGCACTTTGATTCTGCCAGGAAACAAGAACCAGTTTAGACTCCAAGCTGCAAGTTTAGCTTTGATGTTTCTGCACGCACTGCCTAGCCACTCTGGCATCTGCCGGGCTCGCTTGTCACATCCAAGATCAATTTTATCATCTTTTCGTGCAAGTGCACCGTGCTGAACATCTTGGTGGCGGTGAGAAAACGCAGCTTGCCTGCAAATGTATGCAGACAGCTTCGGAGGTCCCAAGTGACCTAAAGATCCAATTTCAATCCTTTGGACGGGATCAGACTTTGCCAGGTGCACTTTTCAGGGATTCTCTCTTTGATGCTCCATCATCCTAGGATGTAAGATCACTGGTAACCTGGTAATTATGATTTTCGGGAACCATGGGGAAAGGTAGTAGTACAGCAGTATAGGATCACCGAAGTCTTTGCAAGCTGCCTTCTCTCAGACAGAAGAGTGGATGATGGCGAATCTGCCAGGTACAATCCCTACGTCTCAGTGCCTCAGCTGCCAGTTCGACCAAGTTCGGAGAACTAACCGATATTGTGGGGATCCACAGCCAGCCGTGAAGTGAGGTAGAGTTCAACGGCCATGAATTGCGGAGTCCGGCTGCTAGGGAAACGCATACCCTCGCATCTCGTCCGCAGTCTCAAGGCGTGTGCTGCTCTGAGGACGCAGCGCTCGGAAGTACGCCTGAAAACTCAGGCCTTCGATGAACAGTTCCGGATTCCCGTTACAACACCGCTGTTCCAAGATTCGATCGTGACTTGACAATGTGACAAGCAGAGTGAAAGGCTGGCCAGCGGCCTTCTGAAGGACGGTGAGTCTGTTCATATCGTCTCTGCACCCACTGGACCGAAGGTGATCAGAATCTGGGATTCGTCCAAGTGGATGGGTGACGAGATCATTGTGCAAGGTCGGTTGTCATTCTCGCTGCTGCGCACAAGCCTCAGTTGTATCACTCTCATAAGGTTAGAGAACAGGAACTCTGCCGTAGTAGCTTCGCTAGCTGAATCTCTGGCAGAATCGAAATCAAGATAAAAACAGGCTTGTAAGTATTCGTAGTCGTCGTACTCGTACTCGTACTCGTGCTCGTACTCGTCGTCGTAGTCGTAGTCGTAGTCGTAGTAGTAGAAAGTAGGAGTAGTAGTAGTCGTAGTGGTAGTGGTAGTCGAGCAGCAGTGGTAGCAGATGGTAGAGCTTATATAGTTGTGCATCCTCTTGTCCAACACCCTGTATGCTGAGCCCCTGGCTTCAACTGGTGTGGGCGGCGGCATCGACTCCTCCCACTTGCTGCAAATGACAGCTTTCAGCTGTTGCCCCAATCAGACACGATTGAATATGCACATAAAACTACTTGCCTGTATGCACACTGGAGCCGTAAACCCTATCACTGCTAATCCTATGTCCCATGCAACACTACTCATACTAATAGAGGTGTTGAACGTTCTGCGATAAAAGCTCCACCAAGGTCAAACAAAGGTGTAGGCGGAGGGTAGTAGGGTTCTTCTAAGGGTTTCAAGCGGGTTGGACCGTTGAAATAGAACAGGTAAGCTGTTGGGTATACTAGCCTTGTGACATAGGGATTTTCACAGGAGATTAATACGAGGTCTTCCGACCACATCCACTGAATCCTCAACCCTAGACCCCAGAAATCTTAACTCTAATCTCTTGAACCCAAAACTGGGTTGGGTCGGATTTCCGGGTTCTCATAGGGCCTTCTCATCACCGCGACGGTTGGGCCGCCGCGTCCCTCCTCGCCACTCGCCTTGGCCAGAGCAGAGCTCGCTTTATTGTTGGACCCGACCGAGCTAATTTCCACGTATATCGCACATGCTTTGAACGTAAGGTTGCTGCGTAGGATGCCCGAATAAGGCCAAAGTACGCAGTATGTAAGGTATAGGTATCTAGACTCTTAACTAAGGATTCTGTACAACAAGTTCAGACACGAGTGTCGTCTTATCGGCTTTTTTGTGTCGGCTGCGGCGCTTGAGGCAGGAACTAAGCGTGCTTCCTGGCAGTCTACGTCGCCGAAAAATGGATACGGAATCTATTGGGTCCCGATTTAAAAGGTCGCGCAAGGTATCTCGACTACTCATCTGACCCAAAGAATGTATCGGTAGGCATGGCAATGTAATGCGGATGTTGCCCGAGTTAGGACTAGGCGTTTGTTTTCTTATGGATTCGGACGTAGAATCTCTATCCGGTGGGAGAAGGGCTGCTTGGGGCGGTGGGGATGTATGTATGTCTATACAAGAATGTAGGTGGCCGTGGCAGTATGGATGTGTACATACATGCGTACTTGCATGTGCAAACCATATGAACAATTGCGGCTGCAAAGATTTGAGACAGACGTCCTCATCAGGCAAACAGCCCGAGACCTGAGTGTTAAACGCCTACAACAGCTCCAGACCTAATTTCTTCCAACTTGTGCCCCTATTCATGTTGAACAGCTGCGCGGCCTTTGAGTGGGATGCCATCGAGATAGACCTGGCGATCATTGGAAGAATGCAGCCTGAACCTCCTCTATTGACAGGGTCTGATGAGGTTGCGGCAAATCCTTACATATCTTATCCGAGGGCCCCCTGCACGCAGGATTCGTTCAGCGCGTTTGGCATGATTCACTATGTTGTTTTATTCCAGTCACACGTCTGATCACAACGCGAAGGCTCAGTCCACCCTGCACGGAAAACATGGCTCGTGGATGCTCTCTAGAACGACTGCAGACATGCGTCATTGAAACAGAGCCCTCCACCCGAAACCCCATGTATTGTATTATGCTTATATTATATATTCTATACGATGTATTTGGTATTATGTGTTGTATGTTATTCATATACGATAAACTATACATGCCTTAAGCCTTCCTGGCCGAAATTCTGGCCAAACCATCGAACATCGAAGTCGCGCGCCTGGCCAGCCTTGAGAGCTGTCAAGGCATTCTCCGCCGCCGTCCTTACACTGTAAGCCCACGAAGCACAGGCTCCGTAGGTTTTTGGGTTTGGGATTTGGGATTCAGACCCTGAAACTTCACCCTAAACCCTCAACCGTTCCCTGCAACTCACCTGAGCGTTAATTGTGCCCGGAATCTGTGCAGCGAACCAGTACAATACTACTACTACTACTACTACTACTACTACTACAACTACTACTACTGATTACTACTACTACTACTACTACTACTACTTCTGCTACTACTAATTACGACGACGACGACTGCTACTACTGCTACTACT